AAGTGTTTCAACTTGATCAGCCTTGTGCCCAGTGTCCAATTCAGCAGCATCTAGCACTAGAAAAGTCCTTTATATCACATCTGTTTAGCATGAATACAGTGTGTCCCTCTCTTTTTATTTTTCTTACATACTTACTTCCCACTTATTATTCAGCAAACTCATAATATATTCTGCAGTGACCTTCAGTGAAATATGGTTCTGATTAATAGGGACAACACTATGTTTATATTGTGCAGTAGATACTAAACATAGCTATCCTTACTCACATAATCACATCCCCTCACTCAACCATCCATACACACCACACCACACCACACCTTATTCTCCTCCACTGCACGCTCACACTCAATTGAATCTGTCATCTTCTCTTTGGTCCCCTAATGGCCGTCCACTCGTAGAGAGCTATTAGAGTACAGGACATGTTATTGGAAATCAAAGAGGATTTGGAGTCCAGGGCGTCCTCCTGCAGGGGAAAGCACCCAGCAGAGGTCAACTTGTTACAAAAACACTCTCGGTCATCCCTGACCGTTCAGATGGATTTCTTCTGAGTAAATCTCTGTTTCCATCATTGCCATGGCTACTCTTTGTGAGGTGTGATTGTGAAGAACTGATGGCATGCAACATGCTATAAAATATACTGTACATGCACACAACTGTTAGATCTGTAATATTAGATCACTGCCTTGTTTTATTTCTTCCACACTGTCACTCAAGATTTAACCTATGGTGCAGGTCCAAGAGGTTTGAAGCAGGGTATGAAACCATTTTAAAATGCCAAAGAAACTCTTAATACAGAAAAAAAGGCTGCCAAGAGTTCTCTCTTGGTTTATTGCATTTGCTAGCAGCGTCACTATATGTACAGCATTTATAATTGTGATCACATTTCTGATAATCCAATTAATCCGGATAACAAGCAAACAAAGTCTGTACAGTGTTGCTTCTTTCTGCTAGTTAGTTTTCCCTGAAATTTGTATTAAAACAACAAACACAAAAAAATATTTTCAAGACCAAACATGATTGGCTTACCTGACCAAAATTGTACTGTGCCTAATACAAGGAATACAGGAGGAATACAAGTTGGTGATATTAAAGCACATGCTGGTGTTTAAGAGGGTTTCCTGCATCAGCTCTTAATATAATTGAGACGAACTGGGACGTGAGAATATTCTGAACAAATAGAAGTAAAATACTTGACAGTTTTTTTTTCTAATGATAAAGGAATTTCATTAGCTGGCAGCTGGTCTAACTGATCTGGTTGCCTGATCAAGACTGTATGACACAAAGTGTTGAATTGCCCCTCTTGAATTAATTTTTGTCAACCAGATAAGGTGTGCCAGAGATATGCTTTTTTCCTTATTTTCTTTTTCAAAACTTTTTAAATGAAGTGAAGTTGAATGTATTCATGAAGTGTGATTTTAACTGAGGTGTTTGTCATTATGTAAATGTCAAAGAGCTAAAACAACAGCAGATAAAGTGGCAGTTTTACAGTTTATATATTACAGTTTTCCTGTTCTATCTGCTCTCTGTTTCTGTTCCTTGAGTTCATGTTTAAAAATAATATCCATGGATTGTATCCAAGAATTAATTCTATAACTGTGACGTTGCAGATTGGAATTCAGTTTTAAACTTTGTTTTCTGTTTTAATATTGTGTCACTATTATTTTAGTCCCATGTCTTTCCAGTCTCTCCCAATGCAGACAACTATACAATAAAGCACAAATGCCCAAAAAGTAAAGTACTTTGAGGTAAAAACAACACAAAACAAACATCATTAAATCCCAATTTTTATTCATTGAAAATTTAGCATGTAAGAAAAGTAGCATTTGTGTTTTTTAATTCAAAGACAAATTGGTCCACTTAATACCCCAAATCAACAGTTTTTAAAACAGGATATAATCCAGAATAAACATGCAAAGGCTTGTCTTGGAGGACAGACATAAATCAGAAATAATTAGATATTCTGATTACAGTACAGCTGGGCTGGAGAAGGCAGTTTTTAATCACATAGTATTAACTTTATATAAGATACTTAATCTCCTGCTTTATCCACATGTATTTGTCCAAGCTAAGGGCCACAGTCTAAGGGAGAACTAAAATGTCTTTGTGTCAGCACCACTGTGTGGTGTCTAAGCGGAAAACAATGCCAGAACCCCAGTGCGGCTTGAAATTTGGAAGCGTAGATGTACATTAAAAGCTGTGGCTAACAAAAGCAGTGCAGTGCAATTGATCTTAGTTGTGTGCAAAGGCAGGACTTTGGGGAAATCAGAAGCTTCATTAAAGTTTCATATTGTATTTCTGTACACTTGCAGATTCATCTTGTGTCTCTATTTACTTAAGGGCCCAAACTGAGTAAAGTTAGACTCACCCTGGGAGCTTGGATTATAAAAGCAACACCATGTGTGGAAAAAAAGGCAGAAAAATACTGTTTTCTGGCAGGATGATTGTTTAATGTTAGTTGTTTTCTTTTTTGGCACTGCAATATACCAAATGTGAACTATGTTTTCTATGAATGTGCTATTTATGCTGTCAGAATCATCTTGGCTGTATATGATCATACAATGTGGACCTCTGAGTGACTCTACAGTGTTTGTCCATTTACAGTTTTGTGATGTTCTGAGAATCTGCTTGTCTGCATCTGAGTCTGTCTGTGTCAATCTGTCACTTTCCACTCTCTCCACATTCACCACATTCATAGTGTCACAAAACAGACAAAATGACAGCAGATAGCCAAATTCTCTCACTCTCTGACACTCACTCACACACACACACTACCATGGCATTAGTCAGCTATGGATTCCCCCTGCGCTGCAAATCATCTGTGAAAATCATACAGAAATCCTGCGCCAGTCTTGGACAAATACAAACACATTATGCGTACACTTTTTTTCACAAATTGAAGAATACAAAGGTGCTTGCTCTTTTGCCAGATCTCTTTCACACACACATGCACACATGGCAGAACCAAGAGGCAGATATCTTTGATAGCTGCCCAGGTTTGATGGCCTGTTGCTGGCAGAGGCTTTTAGGGAGGCTGGTGGAACCTTGCTGTCTAGTTTCCTGCTGGGCCTTTTGTCCCAAACTGTGGGTTGTCCTTTAATAAATGAGGGTGTCCACGGGGAGATGAAAGGGATGAAAACAGGTGAGCACTTCACAGAGCGCAGAACTGAATCACTGAGAAAATCTCAAATAACAGAGTCACAAAAATAATTCACTGCATTAGAGTAAGAAGCTTAGCCAGGTCAGACAGTATATAAAGCTGAAATTGTATCTTTTCAAATGCTTTCAAATGTTATTTTAACTAAACTGGTTATAAACACAATTAATGTCAGCTCATTTTCCACAACCATCATTTTGTTAATAAAGTAACACTAAATAAAGACAATCCTTTAAGTCGGTGGATGTCAAAGCAGTTATGCAGGTCAAATCATAGAAATATAGAAATGTTATGTTACACATTTTAAAAACTCTGCTTTGACTTTTTGTTGGTAAATTATTGCGAAGAGGATTTGATGGAGCATCTGTAGTTACAGTTTCAGAGTCACACCCATTCTGACTCACCGTATTTTCCCATGACATTCAGACAAGGTTTCTGCATACTGTACCCAGCTTCAAAACATGCAAGATGGTTACATCACATCCAATGAATTGATAAATCTTTCCGTAACCTGTGACTTACCAAAAAGAAAGCTGTAGTCTCATGCAATTCCTGATTTTTTTTTTTTGCAGCTGGGTCTGTGTGTTTATGTGCCAATATTTTCCCGGAGCGCTAACCTTGAAACCACCAAAGTGCTCTGGCGCTATGCTAAGGCTGCACACACTTATATTTAGGTCCAGATGTGAGTGAGTGTGTGCAAACATGTGCACGTGCCTGTGTGTGTGACACAGCACTCTTGTGGCAGCTGTGCCCTTTTCAACAGCACTCTCAAAAATCTCAGCAAAAAAAGATACATTACATACAAATATATCCCTCTGTCCTCCATCACATGGGCCGTTCTACACTCACAACTGATGGTGTCAAGGAACATAGTAGCGACACAATCTCACCTCATTTCCATAGCTTGCACCATACCTTCCTGATATGGTAAAGCAAGTTTGATGCAGGAGAAATGGAGTGAGGGATGGGGGCAGAGGCTAGAAAAGAGGAGGTGAGAGGAGAGGAGACATGTAAAATTTCAAGGGAGGAAAAGGCTACCCTGGTAGCCCTGCAGAAATTGTTTCCATGATATTTGAAGTCCGCAACAGTCCAATTAGGCTGCAAATAATCGGGATTACACACACACACACAACTCTGCCCTGTAAGATATAGAGGCAAGGAGCGAGGAGGAGGGGATAGAGAGGGAGGGATGGTGATGAGGAGTGAAAGTGGCAGTGAGTTTTGGAGAGATGGCAGAAACCAGGGGGGAGCAGCCTCCATGCTCATGACAGCAGCTGAAATCCCATCCACTGGAGGAAAAGGGAGCTGACATTCCCATGAAGGAAATGCACAGGGATATGAGGCAAGGGGGGGAGAGATAAAAAGGACAGAAAAAATATATAAATCTAGCGTGTGAAAGAGTCACAGCAAGAGAGGGAAATGGCAAAACGCACAGATTGTTTGGACATTTGTACTCGTTAGAAGCTCTGATCAATAGGCAGTTGTTTGGACAGTTTGGGTCGGTTTGGGTGGGCATTTCAGCCAACAAACAACACTTTTTTGCCCTTATTTACAGTGTGTCCCAGTTACCAAATCCCATCCCTGCCACACATAATATTGCCAGTGTTTTGCACAGAAAAGACAACAATATCATACAAACTAGAGGTTATTTTAACTAAACATACTCTGAAGAATTTGTGCTTTTAATACTGTATCTTGTTTCCTTTGCTGTTCATTTTGTGTGTGGCACAATAAGGCCTCAATGAACAAGCTTCTGGGGCGTTATAACCAATATTTTTCTACTGGCAACAATATCTAAATCTTAGTGTTTTTATTAATTTTTTTGTTCCTTTACTGTGTTTTGCAGACCTTGACACACCAGTTCTGACGGTGCACCAGACCATCAGCGATGTGCGTGGCAGTTACTACCAGGAGAAGACGGTGTTCCTTCGCTGCACCGTCAACTCCAACCCTCCTGCACGATTCATCTGGAAACGTGGGAACATGCTCATTGAACAGAGCAAGGACAATGGGGTGGACATCTACGAACCACTTTACACTCAGGTACACATGAACACATACACAGCACAGACACACTGCCAGGTGTGCAGTCACTCCTCGCTTTCTGCTAGTCTCTTTAGGAAGTGCCTCATAAAATCCTTCCCACTAAACTTCACTTTTGAGAAAGTCTAAATCTCTCGCTCTTGCTTTTATCTAGTTTTTTTCACTATTTATGTCTAACAATCAGTGTTCACATGAACATTGTCAAATAATAATATTCTTTATTCATGGTGCACTTATCAAAGTCCACATTACAAAGTGCTTCACAAAGGCAGCAAAATAAAAAGGTTTTTAAAGAAAACAGATTAAAAAAAACTATTTGGTGTATAAGAACCAATATAGTGTAGAAAAAGGCAAGAATAGGAAAAGAAAAACATTTTTAAGGAAATAGAAGACAGTTTGAAGAAAATTAAAACACAAGTTAAATCAGGATAGGCTCTCTGATAAGTATGATTTAAGAAGGGACTTAAAGGAGACCACTGACTCAGCCGACCTGATTTCCTCAGGCAGATCGTTCCCGAGCCTCAGGGCCCTGACTGCAAACCCTCTATCCCCTTTAGTTTTCAGCCAGATTGGCTTATTAAAGCACTATGGTTGTGACATTGGTACTCCAGGGTCACAGGAATCTAATTGACCGTTCACGAAACTCCTCCCCCGAACAGCGATTGTTCAATAGCTTTAACTCGGCCCGGCAGGTCTGTCAAAGTGGTGTGCATGGGGCTCTACAAAGTGTGATACTCCGAATTTGAAGACTTTGGAGGGTGATGTCAATTTTTGTAGCCTTTCAAAAACAAAAAAGTGTAAGAAATGGATTAATCTCTGTAGGGTCCTTTCCATAATGGTCAGACTTAATAACATAAGAGCCTGAGCCTATCAGTGGTAAAACGAGCACTTTTAGTGAATGTACATTGACGGTTCGCAATTTCCCATTATGTCGCAGCTGGTCAATACTAAACCAAATTCAAAAAATTGTTAAGGGTAAGTTACCCTTTAAGTTAAAAATAATGCTTGTTCTTGATAACTTTTCATCAGTTTTCACCAGATCCATCATCCAGCTTCTTGACCAGCCAGTAAGTTACCAAATAACAAAAATAAACAGTCCCCAAGCCTGATCTCCCAATCTGAGTGCACAATTGTTGCATTAGCACAACTGCTCCCTTTTTTTCCACTTACCAGAGCATCAGTCTGCCACAGAGCAGAGCCCCTTGAGTTCAATTAACCGACCAGCAGAGCTCCTCCCAGGGCTGCCTAAGACACTGTTAGCCCATCACCTACTACAGCAGACAGATAGTTAGACAGTATCAGATGCAAAGTCTTGATCTGAAAAATCACCAGTGATGTTGAAGGAGATGTGTGATCTGTGTGTCCAAGAGAGAGCGTATGTGTACATGAGAGGCCCAGAGAAAGCTACTAGAGTAAGAGACATTGTTTTATGAATCGTCAGGGAGAGGATAGAGGGATTTATTTTTTGTTTTTCTGCTGACAATCAGATCAGTTTCATTTTCGTAATGGTCTCGTGAAAAGCCATTTGAAATTCATGTTACTCATATTACTCTATATGTAGATCTGAGATGCTTGATAATCAGGGCATGTCAGATACACAAACACACTGTGTGTGCATGTGTGTGTTCATCTCAGTGTATTTTGACCTTGTTTATCACACTGCGGCTCATCAAAAATTGAAGTGATTTTTACATAAGATTACAACCCAGTTTAGAAAAGACTAGAATAAAAAGCTCAGAGATTTCTCATTGATGCAATGTTATGTGTGTCCTTCAGTTTAACCACATAAAAGATTTTGTTTTTAAGAATGTGATATTTTAGCATGACGCTGTCATGTTTCGTCCCATCTAGGGGGAGACCAAGGTGCTGAAGCTGAAAAACCTGAGGCCCAAGGACTTTGCTGATTACACATGCCAGGTGTCCGTCCGCAATGTGTGCAACATCGAAGATAAGTCGGTCACCTTCAGGCTCACAAATGCCACAAGTAGGTTTTTTGATTGTAGGAATGCTTGTCTGTGCCCAGACATTTATACATGCCTTCACAAAGCCAAGGTCTGTTCCTCTGCTATCAATTTTATCACTTTGACTTTTTGCACTTTCTTTCTCTTTTTCGACTCACCCATCTCATCTGACTTTTCTCTGCAGGCTCGTTGTTTCTTGGCTCAGGAATCTCTTGCTCTCCGTCTCTTTCTCTCATTGTTAAAACGTCTCCTGTCTTGTGCAGGAACTAGCATTCTCCTTTCATCCACTCATTTTCTCACTTCCTTTAATTTCTCTGTCTGTCTCCTTGTGTCTTCCTTTCCTTTCTTTCCATGGGTTTTTCCTCTGCCCTTTGACTTACCACTCAGATTTGCTTTCAGTCTCTTTATCTCCTCGTCTGCCTCCCAGTGTGCCATATTGTCTATGTGTCTTGTTTTTCTCTTGCTGAGAGCTGATGTCTGGGCCGTCAGCTGTAATTCAGTTGTCACACTCTCTGTTATCTCCAATTCACTCTACACTCCTCTGTCCATCTGCACGCCATCACCTGGCAACTCTGTTACTTAGGACAATGTTGCCGTTGACAACCCTGTCAGGTTTGTTACGGTCAGACTGATACACCACAAGGGAAAGCCCCATGCTCATGAAGTGCTTTTTTATTATTTTTTCTATTGTGTTTCTTTTCTCTTCTCCTTTCCCTTTCTTCTTGCCTCATTTTCTAAATGCCAGCCACCCTGAATGTGTGTTGGTAAATCTTGCAAGACAATTACATGCTTTATAGCGTTTTAAGTGTTTTTCCAAACCCATTATCAGTTCTATTTAATTCCTTTCTGTAGTGTGAGTGTTTTAATTTGGAACGTCCTTGTTGTGAAATTTAATGAAACACGCTTGTTTTCTGCATGCTCAAGAGCCATTTGAAGATAAGAGGCTTCAGGGCTTCTGGTCTTAATCCAGTCTTTCTCACGGTCAGAGGGCTTGAATAGATGTGCAGTGAAAATGTGGATACATAAGTTATAATGATTGCGGTTACTGGAGCCTTTTTCCCAAAACATAGCTTCTTTCCAACCAAACTGGTTGTTAAAATCAAAGATTAATATTCCCTTAAAGCAATAATTTGACATTTTGGGAATTTCACTTTCTTGCCCAGAGTTAGAACAGGTGGAGGCAACTAGCCGGTCTCTAAACAAAATCCACTTACTTACCTTTAAAGCTCAGTAATTAACATGTTTTAAATTAAGACATTATATCTCGTGCATCTATGCATCCAAAAACTGAAATGCTTAGACAGCAAGCAAGCTATGTTTTTGAACTGCTTTGATGTTTCCTCTGTGTAACAGTCACGCACTATAAAGAGTTTTTTCCTACATTTTTTATGATGGCCACAAGTGTCTATGACTTTATACTTTAACTTTTTTATTTACAGACTTTGAACTGAAGAAGAGGTTATCAATTGAGCAATAAGGCCTCTTTCAGATAAGAGATAAAGTTCCCTAGGAGTCTTCTAAAGTAAACTGAAGGTGGGGAAGATAAAAAAAAACCCCTCAAAGTACAAACTCTGTGATAAAGTTAAGAGGAGAGGAAACACAGTTTGGCTTCCATGTGAAAGAGTGAGCACGAGAAAGAAGTGGATGCAGACAGATACAGAAAGATCTGTCTGAGGTTCTGATTTAAGCGTAACACATGAATGTTTCTGAATGTATATATATTTTAAATAATAAAAAGGTGTAAGACTAAACTATCCTTTGTGCCAGTGAGCTAATTCTTTGCCTCACTGGTAAATTTGTTTGTAAAACACTCACAAAAAGTGTTGTTCCTAAGCAACAGGTAGAAAAAGGAAAACAAATAGTTGTTTAAGCTGTATGTGATGGGTGTTCTTCACTCTCATTCCGTCTGTCTTCCTCTCCTTCTCTCTTGGACTCCTGTGGCTGAGATCAATTGTATCCCCACAGCTCAGTCAAGATACACACCCCCACAGACGCACACACACACAGCTACACACAGAAACACAAGAGTCTGCCTGGTGCTGGCATACGGGCTCAGAGACTTGCCAGAATAGCCAATCTGTCTGGACCTCGCTGCCTCACAGAGTGACGGAAAACACACTGCTTAGTGTGTGTTTTTGTGTTTGTTGGAGATATTTACAGTTTTTTCTCAGTTGCTTACACACATTTCAAGTCTTGTACTTGCAGTCCATATAACTGTATTCAATACTGTAAAGAACCCCAATTAATTTCATTCTAATGGTCGGTTGCTACACCTGAAATTTTTTAATGCTAATATTACTAATAATATTATTATTATTGTAATTGCTCATAAATTCTTCTTAAAAATAATTATTCACAATGATAGGCTTTAGTAAAAGATAAGTTAACCCTAACCCTAACCTGAATACACAGATAATTTGAATAGATAAAGAGACACAGTGGAAATAAAGTACTACAAGGTTTTAAATAAATCCAGTTACAGGAGACAAATACTTTTCAGACAAGTGTAAACCTAATGATGTTATCTTAGAAAATCACATCTCTAGACTCACATCTCAAATAACAAGACAAGAGTGGCATACGGGGAAACACCAAAAAGAAAGAGCTTAAGAACAGAGATGAAATAGATACACAGAGGGCAGAGAGAGGGAGGGAACTAGACAGACGGACATAGAGATTTCCAAAAAGGAAAACAAACACCAAGTTGCTGCTTTTGTTTTTTATCCTCTATATTATTTGTCTAATGAGCGTATTTTGTTATTCCCCACTGAGCTCCCTTTTGTCCTTGTGGCGTCAGTCACTGCTTAGATTAGATCCATCCAACTAGGTCACGCCATCACCGCTGATTCACCGCTCTGGGACAAGGGGATTGATTGATTTTTATATCATAATCCCAACCTGGGATTTGAGTATGGGGCTTCTGCCCTCCAGTAACTGCTGACAGCGGCCAAATCCTCTTCCCCTGCCTCTCATAAAGAGAACACGGGGGCAATCCTCCTGGAGCTTGTCATGTTATTTAAAGTGGTGGAGTACAGGGGTGGACGCGGGAGGGGGGTAATGTAACAAGGCCTGGAAATGTGGTGGAATGAAAAAAAAAATTAAACGTAATACCATCATCAACCATAACCCCTGCACATAGTGGCCAGCTATTTTTGTAATATGATGCTTGCAAGTTTAACTATGGAACAGAGAGAAAGATGACAGGGCAATCATTTATTTTACCTTCATTTGAAGCTAAAAACATGTGCATTAGCCCAAAATTCCCTAAATACAGAAGAAACACACACACACACACCCTGATTTAAAGCAGTTTAGAACCTTTGAGAGAACTGAGTCAGCCAGTAAATCTGAACGATGGGAGAGTTGATTCAGTCTTTTATTGATTACTGTAACTCTTACTACAATATACCTTCACAATAATATGACAGTCGTACAAGTGTGCAATATATATGATGAGATCAATAGGTGACAAAGCCTATTTCGTATGAATTCCCCCTTGAAAAGTTGAGGATCAATTGGCAATCTGCAATAACCCTTAGTACTGTAAAATCTCTGTGGTGGGACAATGTACTGCATCTGTGCGGTCAGTTTTATGTAAGGCTCTAATCCATGTCTGAGAGGGGTCATGGGGGAGACAGCGAATCACAAAAAATAATGAAAAAATGAGAGATCCAAGAGGAAAGACATTTAAAATAATCTAAAAGCTCTAATTTATTTAAAGATGTTGTTTGTTCATCCCATAAATGCAAACTAGTTGTTTCTATTTTTGAGGTTTAGATATTTAACCAACAGATCATGTGTGTCTAGGCTTTATGGATGTAGGTTAAAGGCCTCCCACAGGAATTATTACACTGTTCAGTTACTCAACTTTCTCCACCAGTGTCAGATCCAGTCCAGTCAGGGGATCAGGGTGGGGATATATAGCCACACCACTGGCGAGAATCAATTTGCTTGTAAGGCTGCTTTGATCATTTTTTTGTGTCACTGGAAGGGGCTTTAAGAATCTCACAATTTCAGTTTCAGTGTCCTCTGCATTTGACCTTTCCAGTTTTAAAACATATTACTTTAACTATACAAGTGAGCATGCAGCCTCTCTGCAGTACTTCACACTCACAGACTTACACATATTTATAACCACGAGCTGCACTGTACAAATTAAAGAGACCAATTACGACACATTCTGCATCTTTAAACTTTTTAAACTGCAATCCAAGTCCTGGCTTCTAGTAAAATATTTCAACCTGTACTGACCTAAAAATACTTTTTGCGTACCTAAAATGCATAATCAAGCAGCTCTGCAGCTTCTTTCATCCTGTTACAGTGTATATTTGCAGATTTAGTAATTGCTTCCAAGTCCTTTAAGGGTAGCTGATATGCACATACGTACATTCAGATAACATACACACACTGATACTACACATCCACTATGGACGTACACACAGACACACTCATTATAATGGCTCAGTATTTACATACACAGAGCAAAGAATTTGCACAAATAGAATTATAGGTGCACACATTTTGTTTCTGGATTCCTCTCCGATTTTCTTTTCCCAGTATTCTCTCAGTTTTCATAGTAGACATTATGTCTTGGATAGGTGCCAGGTGTTACTAATAAATTCAACAATGATAAATGGAAATCAACTACATGTCATTTCTAAATAAATACCTTAAGGTCAGAGTATAGGGCCGGTCACAGTTTAGTGCACTTTTGGGGTTCACCTCCTCACCTTGCTTCAGGGTATTATGTCTGTGTGTATTAAGGTAATAACCAGCAATCCTCCACTTTCCAAATCACACCTGGAACATTTCCTCTTCCTTGCAAGGATCAACAGAAATGTTTTGGTTGCTATTCGGCCTCCAAACCCCTAGGCCAACCTGTCGCCTCACCATTTCTTTTGACTGATGGAATGGTGACAGCGACTGTTCCAGGGTACAAAACATATACCGCACCTGTCAGCATCCACCTCTATCTAAACCCTTTAAGCTTTTTTATTTCCAGCTGATTTCCCACCAATAACTC